CCCCCCCTCCCGGCGGCAACCCCTTTCCCCCCCCTCCCCCCGGCCCCTTCTCCCGCCCTCCCCCTTCCCCCTCCCCCTCCACCGCCTCGCAATCCAAACCTCCCCCGGCCCTTCGACCCATCCACTCAGTCCCAACACCAACCGAGTTCAACCCTGGCGACGATCACTACGACACCACCCGCGTCGCGGGGTACGACCTGCCCAAGGTCATAACGCACACCGCGTTTACTCGGCAAATGGGCATCGAGGGACAAGACATCGCTCGCGTCCCCCTCCTCCACTTCATGCACGAACAGTGGAACAGTTGGTGGTTGCGTCACCTCGCCCACGGAGGCGAAGTCCGCATCGTTGTCGCAAAGTCGATGCCGGAATCAGTGTTTGCTGCTGGACTACTCACAAATCCGACAACGGCACCTCGACCTGGACGCCCTCGCCCTCCATGTAGCCACGCAGGAGGGCGCCTCGACCACCAAACCAGCAGCCATGAAGCTACTCACCAGCAAGATCTTCGACTTCCTCATCTCCCTCCGACCCACCACTACGACCGACCCGGCCTCCGCGGCCACCATACTCCAGCTTCAGCAACAGCTTGCTGACGCACACAACCAACTCGCCCAGCAGGCTTCTTCCCCCCCTCTCCCCCCCACACCCACCTCATCCAACAAACGCCCAGCCAATCCATCTCAGGCCTCCCTCCTGGACTTCGGCATGAAGCGACCACGGTTGACTACACCTGACACATCACCGCAGGACGGATCCCCCGCTCTACCCCTGCCCACTCGCATTGCAGACGACTCCCAACCCCCCCCCGGCTCCCCCCACCCACGGCGGCAACCCTCCAGCCCCCTCCACCCACGGCGGCACCCCGACCCCTCCCCCCCTCCCCTCCCCACCCACTTGGAAGGAGCCCCGCGACTTGCTCCAACCACCTCCCCACGTTTGCCAATGGCTCACCAGCAACTTCCCACCCGACATTTCCGACACCAAAGTCCAGCGATGGATCACCTCTCAGAAAACCAGCAAAGAGAGCAAGCAAGTCCTAAAAAGCTGGTCCAACGACTGCGCAAAATGGGCAACCACACTGGACTCCGACACCAGAGCCCAACTCGAACGAGCCGCTGTGCTATGGGGCATCCCGGTGCGAACCCTATCAAAACTGGGGTCATCGGCCTTGGGCCGCATCCTGGCCGCTGCGAGTCACTTCTACCAGTGACTCTCAACAGCACACCGACAACGACGCACAGCCAGGCAGCACAAATTTTGGCAACACCACTGCTGCCAACTTCTCACTGTCCTCCGTTTCACTCTTCGGTTCTTCCCAACCGATGACGTCACCGCACGTCATTCTTGCTCCTGGCTACTCGCACAGCTTCAGCTACTTGACGTCTGCCATCTCTCCTGTGGTTCCGGCAGACTGAAAGCCCTGCTTACTCGACTTGGCCTGGACAACCCTGCTTCCGATTTCTCTTCTCAGCTTGTCCCTTCAGCGGTTTATCTGAGATTCACCAGCCATCCAAAGTGGCAGGCCTTTTTCTACCTCGGAGCCACTCGCGCCTCCCTCATGGCACGGGGCCGCAGCCAACTTCGCAAACTACTCCAAGTTCAGCGACATCATCTGGTCAATGCCGAACTGGCAGTCCGGTGGTGGGCACATTTCGACTTTTTCCACCACTACACCTCGGTGCCCATTCACACTGTCGTTCCGGCAACGGACCTATTTGCCACTGAACAGTTCTACATCCAGGAACTGCAACCGTCTCTCAATTTTGGCTTCATCGAGAAACATTTCCGGCCACGCACGGGCTTCATACGCCAATTGGACTTCTCCCAATCCCGGCACATGGGCTTCGCCACCATCTGGCGAAAACGCCGCCGACTACGACTACCCATCGCCCTACAACAGGCCTTCCTGGCCAAACGCGTGGACAACCGCCTGGATTTGTGGCGATTTTTGGGCGATCTTGGCAGCAACACTCTACGACGATTTGATGCCATCCGTTACATACGGAGCAGAGACTTCCCACCCGCCGCTCTCTATGTCCTTCATCGCATAGCCACACACCTGCCTGAACCACACCACCAGGCATGCCTTTCCGCCATTCGATCCAGTTTACGATTCCGGGGCCTCATTCCACCTGGCCCCTCCAGACCGATGCTTGCACCCTTCCTCGCCTGGCGACTACTGCTAACCTGGTACCGACAACGACAACCACACTCCTCTACCACACACCTCACAGTGGACACACTTGACACCTCTGCCATCACCCGCGTCTACAACGGACGCCGTCGCCGACACAAACCCACACAACGCACCCTGTGGCTCGACGACATCCCCGAGATCATTCAGGCCACCCTTGACATGCAGATCTTCTCTGTCGGCCTTCGTTCATTCAGGCGAACACGTGGGGCACCGATGGGATCCCCCGCGTCCCCAGCTCTCTGTTTGATGGTGATCGCGGTCGCCGAGCAATGTTGGGCCAGCACTCGCATCGCATCGGGGCTTCGCTCCGTTGAAGGTACTCTCCTACTCCGCTACGTGGGCAACGGACTCGTGATCGCAACCCCCAGGTGGCTCTCGACTCCGGCAGCCAACATACTGTGCGACGAACACTTCTATGGAGGAGACATCTTCCTGGACACAGAAGCCGCCCTGGACTTCTTGGGGTTCCGACTGAACCTCACAAGCAGCACCATCTCCATCATCCCCTCGCATGAGAAGCACAACATGCTCTCCGTCAAGTCAGCCGCACCACTGATGCATAAGGAATCTGGATGTTATTCCGGACGCACGCTGATCAACCGAGTTTCCTTTCCTGAGTTTCAGCGAGGTCAGGGTCTTGCAATGTTGAAGAGGTTGCACCTCCAACACGGTTTCACCTTACAAAGAGAAGAAAAACCGTCCTTTGCGGAACCACACTGGTTTTCTTCTCTGCCTTTGCATCCTGACAGATTTGACCTGATTTTCGCGCCGCAGCTGTTTGACTGTTTGACCAAAATCCGTTACGAGCATGGATACCAACACAGCACGCCAGCTGCTCCAAGACTTCGAACTCATCCTTGGCATTGCCCAACAAGGCATCGCCACCATCCGCGAGTTCCCTGAGAGTCCGCCTGCCGAACCTGATTTGGCACCGGAGGCCACGCTCAACCCCGCCCCTGCCAGAGGACCTCTTTGAGCCACCTCCTGATGCTCCAGATGAACACCTTCCCACTGATCATGACGAACAATTCCCTGATCATTGGGCTCCGCCCACCCCTCCTCCGTCTTCTTCCGGCGAAAAACGAGCTCGCCGCGCACGTGATTTGGCCTCCTCACGATCTACGGCATCCAAAACCTGCTCGTGGACCAAGCGAAGCTACCACATCGACCAGGACTGATGCCTCTACTGAGCTCCGTTCCCTTAAGACCAATTCCAAAGCCAAGTATGTGTGGTCAGTCATCGCCACAAGACTTTCTCGCACAATTGATGCTTGCAAGACTCAATGGGCCTTGCACAAGTGATGTCGCCCCAATTGGGGCTCCGTGTGTGTGAAGCGTCCTGGAGCACGGACGGAAATTCCACATTGCAGGGGGACTGGAGCCGATTTGCCTATCCAGTCCAATGAAGCTACGGCATTTCGGTGGATACCGGATCTGATCAATCCGGCGTACCTGCCTATTTCCTGACCCTCTTTCCTGATTCCTTTTGCGGTTTCTGTTTGTCGCTGTTGCTTCCTGTTCGGTGTCGATGTTGTGACCTGTTGATTTGCGTTTGCATTCAAGCATTTTTACTGACTGCGTTTTTCATCTCGGCTAGTGAAGCCTCTCGAGATAAGTGTGTGTGTGTTTTAGCCGAAGGGTGCTCTCCTTTTCCAGGTTGGCTTGGGGGGTCCAAATCCCATCACCCGTACACCCAGATATACACATGGTTGCATGGGATGGGGAACACCCACCCATTTTGGGGTAGCCCTATTTTCAGACACACCCATTTGGGCGTGTAACAGCCGGTTGTCCGATAAATAAAGATAAAATCAGACCATGGCGGTCCTTCAGTCCATCAGGTGGTTTTCTACGCCCAAAGTTGTATCCCTTTTGGGGCACCTGTTCTGTTCCCGGATTCCGGGGCATTAAAAGGGTGCCCTAAAACGAAATACAACTAGGGGTTTGGACCCTGAAATGGTGTTCCTTTTGGTGTCCCAAAACCAACTAAACGAACCCCAAAATTTGCCAGTTCCCTGTCACCTGACCTCAAAAGGATTCACTCCACACCAATGAGCCAGCCCGGGTCATCGGGCCAACCCTTGAGGGCGCTCTTGAATGGCCACAGGGTCCATTTTGGACCAGCTGAAACCGAAATGGGCCGATGGTTGGATGTGGAAAACAGGATCCACCCACCTGTTTGGGGCCCTATTTAGTAAGGGAGAGTCATTTTTTTTAGGGAAGGCCGCCTTTTTGCTTCTTTACATGGCTTTGGGTGCGCCATTTTGAGACCAGGTTTTGATTATGACTCACTTGGCTTCCCTGGTTGCCCCACTTTATAAGGTGTTTTTCCCCGTTTGGGAGAGGGGTACGACCATCAGCAAGCATTTGGTCATCTTGCCAAAGGGTATGCGAAAAGGAGTATGTATAACCACCCCCAGTGTGCTGGTTCTTGTTCGAGGCATACACATGTGCTTGCGGTGCGCTTTCTCGACGCCTGGCTCCCTTCCAGTGATTCACCCCCCTCCGGAATCCCATTTAGGGGGCAGGTACAAGGGTGAGTAGTTGAGAGCCCGTTTTGCGTTCCTTAGGGTTCCCAGGAGTTTTTCAGGGTTCTTCATGGGTTTTCTTCTCCCTAGGGTTTTGTAGGGTTCTTCAGGGTTCCTCAGGATTCTGCAGGGCTTTTCAGGGTTCTTTGTAGGCTTCCTCAAATTTCCCCTATTATTTCTTGCAGGAGTTTGCTCACCGCTTCCTCAGGGTTCTTCGGCCTTTGTCTAGATTTGGTTTCCCCCCGGACCACGAAGGATTCTCCCGGCAGGTGATGCCGGTGAGCACCGTGGCCGCCAGCGCCGCAGTCACCGCGTGCGAGGGCCAGTCCCAGTGGCAGGCGGCGCTGCTCCTCTTCTCAGGCGGAGCGGTGCCGGCGCGAGCTCCAAGAGTGGTGTTGCTTTGTTTGGAGGCACCGAGGGATTTTTGTGGGTTTTAGAAAAAACAAATTTCTATTTTTGTTTTTGGGGGGAGCCTTGAGTTTTTGCGGTTTTAAAGGGGCGCCCCTAGCAAGTTTGTTGCTTGTTTGGAGGCGCCATGCGATTTTTGTGGGTTTTAGAAACCAAAGCTGATTTTGGGAACCTTGAGTTGCTTGTGGTTTTAAAGGGACACCTCTAAGAGGGGTTTTAGGGAACCTTGATTCTGGGGGGGGTGGGGCGGTTGGGTGGGCGGGTGGCTTTGTTGCGAAAAAAAGCGTTTGGGGGTGTACCCCATTTCTGTGGTTTTAAAAGGACAAGGGACACGGGGTCCCCCAAACAAGAGACGGTCTGGACGTTGCCCGAAACAGACTGGTGGAAACAGACACGGCAACTTGCTTCGGCCCTGACAGGGGGAATTCAAGGATTCAATGTGCATCTTGTTCAAGAAGCCACATCCAAGCTCGCAAACATCATCGGATTATGTTTGCGCGAACTCGATGCTGCCGAGGCGCCAAAGTGGAACATTAGGATGGTCATCAAGCAAAAACACTGGGAAAACAACTGTTTTCCACCAGAAACTTGTTATTCAGTGGATTGAACACGTCACAAAACACTGCTGGGGCTCATTTAACATGGGCGGGACTCGCGAAACACGGCAAACAACAGTGAAGATGCAAGTCTCCCACAAGTTGACAACGTGAGAGTCGTCTATTTTGTGGCATGTTTCATGAAGACCATCACCAACAAAGCAGGCAGCCACACCAAAAAACAATCGGAAGTGATGCCAGACAAGGCAGGGGCCAAGGCCTGCGAAGTCACAAGGAAACTGCCCCGGAGTCAGGACAGTGGACGCGTGACTGCGTCACCAAACAGGGAGTTTAAGCGTAACATTTGCAGCACAGGATGAGCCGCGAACAAAGACAACACGCCTGCCAAGCGACAGAGGAGCACAAGACCGAAGGCAAAAACCCCCCCCCCACCCCCCCAAAACAGCAGAAAGGTTGGTAGGGTATTTCAAGGTTAGGGCTTCAGGGTCCAGGGATGATTTTCAACAAGGCATCAATTTCGTTCAAAACCTAAGTATTGGTTCTGAGGAATTTTACAATAATTGTTGAACATGGTTTTTCATTTGAAAGGGTCTAAGATATTGACCGTTTCAGTGTCTTTGTTAGAGCTTATGGAAAGGATAGTTCATTGGTTTGTGAGTGGCTTTTTCATGAGTGTGATGGTTGCATGTGGGTATTTCAGCCAGCGTCAACATTGCTTGGGATGCGATGTTGTTGAAAACAGGAGTTGAACTTGAACTTTTACACGATGAAGAACTTTATAATATGGTTGAGAAGGGACTTCGGGGCGGTATGTGTCAGGTGTCAATGAGAAAATCAATTGCTAATAATAAGTATATGGGAGATGCTTATGATGAAACAAAGCCGTCATCCTACATCAATTATTTAGATGCTAATAACCTTTATGGATTAGCAATGTGTAAAAAACTACCTTATAAGAATGTTGAATTTGCCCATCAACGAATCGATCTGTCTATCTATTTACCAAATGGTCCGATCTATCTGTCTCTCTATCTATCGAACGATCGATCTATCTAGTCTTATATTTCTTTCTACCTACACGCACATCTGCCTGTCCATCCATCCATCTATCTCTCTAATTCACCAACAATCTAACTATCTAACTCTTGGAAACCATGGCAAACCATTGTTTCTTGACATTTCTTGCATCCCATCTATCCTATCTTTCTTATTTATCCTAGCAATCGTATCTGTCTTCCTCTCTCTCCTATTTATCTATCCGATCTATCCTATCCTATCCTATACTATCCTATCCTATCCCATTCTTTATCACATCCTATCCTGTCCTATCTATTTATCCATCCATCTATCTATCCAGGCCCCGATTTGTGAAATGGCGCGAACCCCTGACCCAGGCCAGGTCGTAGGTTGTGAAGGCAGGTAGGACAGGCCCTGTCACTTGACAGCTTTGACATGTGTCTATGGGGCAAGAAGGTTTCAAGTTCCTCTTCATCGGTGGTTTGGATTTGTGGCTTGGGGATTTGATACCGGGCGCCAGACTACCCTTTCTCAAGAGTGTGTCAGGTACGCCTGAATTTGGTGCTTTGGGTTGGCTTGATTGGGAAGGTACCCCCCATCCAAACCACCAGCCAAACCACCCATTCGTCTAGGGGTTGATTCCCCATTCTTTTCAAGCATCGTTCTCTTTGAAAGCCGAATTTCAGGAAAGAATGGGGAAAGGTACCCCTAGAAAGAAGGGACCCTGGAAATCATTTTGTCGAAAATGAGGACAGCCCCACGCAAAAATCGGTGTCAAGTCGGGGTAAGGTGAGTGGAACGAGACCGCAGGCACCAAGGTGGACCAGATCCTGGCGAACGCGGCCATCTCTGCAGCGGAGAAGGGCAGCCAATGGCAAGTGGCTCCTTGCCCGATGCTGGGAGGAGAACGCTGGGGGCCGTTTGTCTGGTGGATTCAAAGGCAAACCACGGACAGCGTTTTTGTTGGTTTTGTCAGGCAAATCAAAAGGAGTTTTTTCTGGCTTGTGCAATAGGTAGGGAATGACTCTTGCGCAACTGGAAGGGGATTAGGTCATTCCCTCATTCCCTGCTGAGAACCAGCAAGTTTGCTTGGTTCCTTTAACAACATAAAAGGACGGTTTTTTCTTGATTTCTGGGGAGGGGCGGGGTATTTTGGCACAGAAGCAACTGGGGCAAACTATTCACCGGCTAAGGTGAACATGGGCCTCATGAAGGTCGTTTAGGTTCCCTCAGAGTTTCCGGCAATTTCCAGCATGGGGATTAGAGTAGCTTGTGATGGTTTCTATCAGGGTTGGATTGTGAGTGTACTTCCCCGCAAATGAACATGCAACCCCAAATGCTCAAACCCTGTACCCCTACTAAACATCAAAATAGGTGGCAAAGGGATGTTCATACACAAAAAGGAGCCGTAGGTTATGCCCCATGGCCATATTTGTTAGCGTTGTTTGTTTTTAGCTTTATGTTTGTTTTTTGGCGGGGGGGGGGGGTGCCTTTTGGGTTCAATGTGAGTTGTTGGAAGAAGTCGGGGCCAGCGCGCATCCGAGCAGTGGCACCCAGCTCAGCTGGAATCGACGGCACCGGATCTTCCATTTGCTGAAACCAAATTTAGTTGGTTTATTTGCCCCAGTTGGTTTCCAAGGGGCATATGCATCTTCTGTCCAGGGAACTCAAACAAATGGTGACCGGGTGCTTTGGTTTTCGCGCTCCAGGCGATGCAGATTCTCGGCGACTTTGACCGCTGGCGGTTGCAGAAGACGGACGGGAGCGTGGATGTTGGTCTCGGCTGAATCTCTGGGGGTAAGGGACACTTAGGAACCTGGTAAGGGATGAATGTTGACCCCATATTCATCAAACCCAGTTTAAGGGGGGGGGTGCCCCGCCAAAAGTGAGGATTCCCCACCAAACCAGGGAGACCCCGAAATTAATAAAGTGTGGTTGATTGATACGGGGTCAACAGTACCCCTGCTAATGGCCATCCATACCAAGGGTCCACGTGTGGTCCAACCCGAGAGATACGGCCAAATACAGTTCGGCCGGCCATGAGTCCTGAAATTGGGACCTCCCGATTTCGGGAAAGCACAAATTTCAGCCTTCCTGGTGAATTGCAGTTCCTATTTTACAGGTAACCATCTATTTCTCCCTTTTGGGTTGGAGCCGGTGATTCCCTTGGTGACCTTCATGGAAATGGAATCATTGGGTATACTCGGCTGGTTTCAAAGGAACACCACCTGTTTGGCCGGGTTTCAAAAAGCCACCAACATAAATAAATAACATAAACACGTTCCCCATGTTTTGCGCCTTTCAACCCACCATGTTTTGCTTTTGTTTTTGGCGTTTTTTTTTAGGACTACACATTTCGAACAACATACCAGGGACGCATGGATCTTTCTCAAGCTGAAAGAACGACTCGCCCGGCGGAGACTTGTTTGAATTCAGCCAGGAAATCACCTACACGGCGGCGATCAGCTCTTGCGAAGCTCAGATGGAGATGGATCGCTGGCTTTGGCTCCTTTTCCAGTGGTGCCATGCATAGGGAATGCTTGCGGGTTCGACAGGTTGAGGGAATGATCCCTATAAGCCATCCTGCATGGTTTCGGTTTTTTGTTTTTTTTTGCTCTTGGTGCGATAGGTGGGTATGGGTCAAAAACAGAAACCACCAGGATATGGACTCCTTGTTTCCATTACGAGGGCAAGCCATTTTGGGATTGCCCTATTTCTGTCCCACAGCCAGGCCATCTGATTTGGTTTTTTTGCAGGTAATCCCCAAAACCGGTTCATTCCAAACACCAGGAAGGGTCATTCTCTGCTGAGCACCAGCAAGAATGACCGAGTCGGGCGTTGTTGCAATGAGCCGGTTTGGGGGATTCCCGAATAAAGGAAATGAAATCCGATGGATGAGTTTTTCTCATTCTGAAGGGGAGCTCAGTGCAGAAGGTCTTTCTTGGGATGGATACCCTCCCACCTTTTTATGTGGAACCCGTCCAGGATCCAGTCCCTTTCCAAGGAAAATCGTCTTCCAGGACCCCCGAATGCCGGTTCCATGTTAATTGGTGGGAGGGGAACTGGGCTTTACTGACTAAAAAGGGATTTTGACTCTATCTTCTTTGGGATTTTGGCCCCTGACAAAAAGGGATCCTACACAGTTGCTGGGTATTGAGAAACAAGGACTTCTCTGAATTGCAGAGGCACTTTCTAAGTCTCATCTGAATTTGGAAGCTAGGACGCCCCTTAAGAGTGGACACGACTGCACCTGGTGTCCGAGAGGGCATCGCTTTCTCTTGGTTTCCCTAGGCGTCCTGTTTGGTTGTTCTGGTAGAAACGAGATGGCGATTCCTGGTTGACCTGGCTGGTTGATCTGGTTTCACAATCCATCTATTTTCTCAAAATTAGAAGTCATGCTGGGTCTGCTTTCCATAGACTCCAGCCTTTGTTGATTGCGGCTTCTTTTGGAGTAGCTTGACTTTGCCCACCTTGCCTGCCTTGCTTTGCTTGCTTTTGACGGCTGATCTGGGCTTTGCTTTTGATTTGCCTGAGAACATCAAGCTGTGCTCCACATCTTTTTGGCGATGATCCTTAATCCAGAGCCCCCCAAAAATGGTTAGTGCACGTAAAACCCCACCTAAATGATGTTCACTCAAGGGTCCCCCATTGTTCAAGCATACCGTTTTGTGTAGAAATCCTCAAAGAGCTTGTTCGGGATGCTTCGACAGGCCGTCTCAAAACTCGTTGGAGCTTAGCTGAAAACCGAGCCACGACCAGAAACAAAAGGGGCCGTCATCAAATGGGTGACCCAAACAGGTTGAACCACGGGTTGGAACCGAGCTGAGCAACCAAGCGTTCTAACCACGACGAAACAATAATAACTACGACGGAAAAATAATAACTACGACGAAAAAACGGATGCACGTACACTATAGAAGGAAATGGAAGGCTCTGTAGAAGGAAACACACCCTTGCTCAGGAGCCTGCGGGGATTTGGCACGTGGCCTTGGCACTTTTCCTAGAGATGCGGCACGCTTTGCCTGCACGCGAGCAAGGAGTGCAGGCGACCGGGGGAAGGGGGGGTGTATGGAATTGGGGGGGGTGTGGGAATGGGACTGGGATTTCGCTGACGTCGTTGAAAGGGACCTTTCGCCCGGTTTTCCATGGTAAGTACCTCCTTTTTTAGTCAGGGCTTACATGACACCCCCAAAATACATGGGTATTTTGAGTACTTAAAGGGGCAGGGTACTTAGCAAATTCTTAAGTAACCATGATTACAACCCACTTACCATGGCTGTAAGTCCCCGTGAAGTCGGTTGTAGCCATGGTGGCCAGCCAGCCACCCACCAAGTCCTTTTCGGCTTTAGAGGACACCCTTCCTTGAAAGGAATCCCTGATTCCCTAGCAGCTCCAGAAAAGACACTCCTAGATAGCCAAGTCGCTGCTTTTTTCAGTCACTGTCGCGATCGGTTTTTGGGGAGCAGTGGATGGAACCTCTAGTAGCACCTGCAGACTCCTGTTTGGAAACGCGGACGTGCTACTAAGTTACTAGGAGTCTGCAGGTGCTACTGTTGCAGGTCCAGTTTTTGGAAAACATGTGGCTGCCCCACTAAAAATGGTCCAAGCCCCAAAAAGGGTTCCCTTTTTTCTCCAGGGTCACTGAGCAACTGAGTGGTTTTTGGGGAAAAGCGGATGGAAAAAAGAACCATCGCGCCGGGCGTCGCCCGGCGCCTTCGCCAGGCCGGCTCCGTGCTCCTGGCGCTGCGCAGAGCTCTGGGCCTTGCAAAGGCGGAGGAGCTGCTGGAGCGGTTCCGGCGCCTCTGGGAGGACCGGAGAGAAAAGAAATCCATGCTGAAAGCTTTGCTTCCATTGGCTGAAATGAGTGCTTTCTACATATCTGTTGACATGAGATGGGGTGGTCCGGGGCGGCCCTGAGGTAAGGTTCCACGAGTTCACCAGAGTTCCACCGCGGCTTCACGAGGGTTCCACGAGGTTCCACAAGGTTTCACGAGGGCTATGGTTCCACGGATATCCACAATGTTTGACAGGGCTTCACAAGGGTCCCACGAGGGTTCCATGAAGTTCAAGGATTTCACAAATTTTCGCGAGATTCTGCGTTGACGGGGTTATGGGGTAAGGGTGGCTGAGGTAAGGTTTCACAAAGAAAATCCCGCACGGGTTCCACGAGGTTCTGCGAGGCGTTCTGAGGTAAGGTTTTAGAGGGTTCACAAGGGTTCCTCAACTAGGAGCACGGCCTAGCTTTGCTTCGCAGAAAGCTGCATCCTAAGCAAAGCCGGCGGTTGGCCATGGCTTAGACTTGAGACCCGGGTCGGAGCCCGCTTGCATGACCGGTCCAGGTCGGGCCCGATTGCACTTTCGAGCCCCGATGGTTCAACGATTGTAAAGTGGCATCCTAAGCAAAACCAGTGGAGAGCTACGGATGGCTTGGTTGGTACTTTCGAATCCCGAAAGCGGGTTCTCAGCGGGCCCTGGTTAATTGGGCCAGTTTATATTAAATTCCACTGAACCAGGCCCCGGGGCCCGATTGTCGCCCAGCTTTGCTTTACACAGGTGCCATCGGGCCCGACCGGCTTCGATCGGGGCCCGACGGCGCAAACTCCAAACCGCCAACGCCAGCCAGCCAAAGCTCACTGCCGGACGCCGCCTGAAAACTGTATAAAGCAAAGCTGGGCGACGCAGCCGACGGGGCCCGAACGAGGCTGGACGGTGCTGGCCCCGCCAGACTGCGGAGTTGGGCATCTGCTGCTTGCACGGGCACATTCGAGCCAGAACGGGAACCCCATGCGCGCGGCAGGATTGACTGTGTTGGGCTGGGCCTGCGGCTGGGCTGGGCCTGCTGGTTGTAGTTTCAGTCACGTCACGCCCTTGGCTCAATTGCTCGTCCAGCCTTTCTGCGCCAGGTGGGGGATGTGGAGATGTTCTTTGAGCGCGGCGCTGCAATCATTCTTCACAGCCCTTGGCCTTGCTCACCCCTGATCGCTTGCAGGCTCTTGGAGTACGTCGAAAGGCAAGGCTGGCAGCTGCACATGGCGGAACTGCGAGGAGCGCTCACTGTAAGCCGGGTGGCAAAAAAGCGATCCGTTCGCGCGCTTTGATGTCGATCTTGATGGGCTGTTCACCCACGTTTGTGCATTCATGGTGCCACTCATAACAAGCTCGTTGCTCACGCATGGATGCATGCATGCTTGACCACCCATGTTGACCACGCATGTTGAAGTTGGCGCATGTTCACTCATGTCTTTTTGGGTGGTGTCGTTTGCCGGCTTGCAAATTACTGGAGAGTTGCAAGTTGCTGGAGAGAGTTTGCGCGGGGCAGGATACATGCATTTACATGGCCCGTCATGAGCCTCGCAAGCCAGGCGCAGGCGTGGGCCACGCGCCAGGCTTAGCTGCAGTTGTCACCTGCAAGGTGGCTGCGAACCGAGCTCGATGAGGCCTCTCTCAGCCCCTCTTTTTTTTGGCACACTGGCCGCGCTTCCAGTGCAATCTTCGATTTTCCGCAAAATTGTTTCTGCCAGTTTTTCCGGCCCCAGCCAGGTGACTCGCTTAGCCTCGCCTTGGCGATATGGCTGTTCAGAAAAACCGGTTCAAGCAGCTGAAGCAGGAGCCCAAGCTTTTGGACCGGCTCGTCGTTGGAGTGGGGCAAGTTCCCTGAACTCCTGGCGGCCTGCCGTTCTGCGCACAGCGCAATTTGGACCAGCTGCACCTTGTTGCAGGTTGGCTTCTCCTTCGTGCGAGCGCACAGCGAACACCTCTAAACAGGCTCAGACTGCACAAAGGGCGATGTGGAGCTCAACTGGCAGGCCCCCTCCTCAGGATGGCTCGCCAAGTCCTCATCCCAATTTCGTCGGTTTTTGTTTGCGCTAGAAACGAGTTTAGTAGTTATCCGCCCCTAAAAGGGGGTTATCCGCCCTTGGGTGTGCGTGGTTCGCAGGGATGTGACAAAAATATAAATAGAAATATATGTATACATACACCTTTCTCGGCAGTGGACCAGGTAACTGTCGGCTACCTGCTGGCCGTTTGTCCGGGCGCGAGATTCAGTGAGGACACGTGCAAGCAGGTGCAACAATGCCAAACGTACCGGGACAAACTGAGTGGTAGACCTTGCTTTGAGGAATGCTGGAGGCTTGGCGCCTGAAAGCGATCGGTTGCGCGCACTTGAGCAAGAAGAGATCTGTTGCGTGCCCTTTGCATGAGGTGAATGCGGGCCCAAGTGAAAAGTAGCGCGGCATGGCCCGCTCCGAGGACCTGCTTGCTCAGAGCAGAGCAGAGCGCGGAGCGATGACATTGGCAACGCATGCGAGTTGCCACCGTCGCCAGACGCAAAGCCACCGAAGTGACTCTCTCTGGCGTGCGCGTGCGTCTCTTGCAAATTGGGTGCGTTCATGCAGCCTTCCTGATAGCAGGCTAAAAGCAAGCCCTTGCCACCTACGCACTCTGACTAACGTCGGCGATTCGTTTCCTTGTGCGGGCCAACAAACTTTGAACTACTGGCACCAACGCGCTGTACCTAAACTGTAGCAGCGTAGCAGAATGCAGCAGCATCTGCATCATGCAACAGTTGCAGCATATGCTGCGCTTGCTCCTCTGGAATGATGCGCAAGTCTTCACTCATGCGGCAGTGTTTGCAGCAGCCCAGTTTGTGCTGGCCCCCACCGCAGCCTGCTGCTCTTGCAGGGTATCCGTCTTATTGTTTGTCTCCCGCGAGGTGTTGAAAGCTCTCACGGTGGACGACCTCGTGCCTCTTGCAGCCCGCTTGCGTGGATTGGGCTCAACAACCCTGAAAGCACGGTGTGGCAGAGGGGGAGGTCATCGGGTGGTGACGATCACAGGGCGAGGGTAAGAGTTGTGGTCTACAGACCGCCTACAGGCTCTTGCCCAGCCCGTTTGAGCTCAACACGCTCAGCCTGCAAAGCTTGGAGGCACGAAAGCATCATCAGCGGCAACATGGGAGTTGCAGACATTTTGATGGCATCGCGCTTTGCCTATGGCCTTACTGATGAGTTTGCCAGCCTCGATGTGTCGTTGGCTTTTGAGGATGCAAGCCTCGTGGATCACCGCTTGCAGCAGCTGCGCCTCTTTGCAGTTTAAACTCCTCTTTGCAGAACTTGCCTGGCCTTCTTGATGCGCCTGATGCGCATCAGCGGTGGCAACGTCGTGAATCTCAAGAGCTTGTCAGCCACCCTGTACGCCAGAAGGTTTTCGGAGAAGGCCTTGTGGGCTCGCGTATCTCGATAGCTGAATGGCGTCCCGCTCGGCTATTACGCGCCCCTGCATGCAGGATGTGGACTTGGAGTGCATAAAGTGAAACGACGTGGCGTCATGAGCGGCAGAATGAAAGGCGCGTGCAACCAATGCCAGAATGCCGCTGTGACATGCGTGTCACAGTTTGTTTGCAAACTGCTGCAGGACTGCCGCACCGGATGTGCTCGCGAGTCCGCATTGAACCTGCGCGTCCCGAGGTAGCGGGCCCTGACCTGGGCCCCGTGATGCAAGCCCCCGCCAACCCCAGCCACCCATAGCTCACCGACGGTTTGCTCAGAGATGCCAGCTTGGCACAGAGCAGTCGGGCCCCGACCGGGTTCCACAGGGTTCCGCATGGTTCCGCAGAGTTCCACAAAAAATCCACAAGGCTGCTGCTTTATAGATCGACGGCGGCGGATTGGTAGTTTGGGGTCTTGATTGCGCCGTCGCCGGGGCACCGTCGGCTGCACCACAACAACCAAAGCGGCGCCCGAAGCAAAACAGGCGGTGCTTGGATCGGTGGCTGGCTTCCTGGGCTGCGGTCGGGCCAGCAACCTCTTTTGGGTAGGGATTCCAACTCTCCAAGGGGGAGAGGCGCTGGGCTGGGAAGCGAGCCCAAACTTCCGTCCGATACGCCCCCTGGAAAAAATAAGCGCTTTCGTCCAGTGAAAAACCTATTCCCTCTAGAAACCACAAAGCACAGGAAAAAAACAATAAACATCGCCATAAACATCTTCCCTCAAGACACCAAGTAGGGGGAAAACAATTAAATATCGTCATTTCAGCAAACAGATGTAAAAACTCCGCCCGGAAAGACTTAAAAAATAAGCTCAGGAATCCCTAGCAGCATGCGGTGCTTTTTTTGGGTATCATCCCTCAGCTCAAAGATGTCCGCCAAAGGGTCCGAGACCCATTAGCATTCACACCCCAGTAGCTGAAAACTTTGGCCAGGTAACCGTCAATGTAGGATTGGGGATATGAATTTTGGGTAAAAGGGAGGGAATCAACCAGGGGTTAGGGGTTTGGGAATATACTTTGACGTTCCTTTGAAAGGGATGTTTCACAATGTCATAAGGGTGAGTCCCCTCATTCCCTGTAGCAAAACGAAAAAGCCGCAGCGTATGTGTTTTCCCCACTGAAAACAGGTAACTCCTAATTGGCAGTTACTGGTTTCTTGGTGCTTCCCAGCCATCCCCTTAGGTCTTTTGTAGTTTTTAGATTTTGGGTAGTTCGGGAGCTCGCCGATGCGGGGGAAGGTTCTTTAGTTGGGGGATCCCGGGATTCAGCTGGTGGACTTATGGCGATTTTTTGCAGAAGGATACATTCGAAATCGACGACACAATTTTCTATTGGTGGATGTCGAGGATCCGAATCCTTGCGGGGGGTTTTGGCAAGTACACTTCGCCAGCAAACATCGAGTTCTTCCGTTTCTGGCTGAATCTACCCCCCGGAGTCCGGAGTGGATCCCAGCTAATTCATAAATCGCCCTCTGCCATGTTCCTTTTGGCCTTTAAGAGGTGGTTCCCTAGGTTAGCTACAGGAAAATGGATCCACAGAATAAATCATATGAACCATAAGTTGTATGTGTACAATATTATTTGGATTTTTACCAATCTGTACTTGTCACCACATCAAATTGGGCCTGCAAAACGTGAGAAGATCCTGAGGGCAAGTACCTTCTGACTTTCTCTAGAGTATCTAGGTCCCCCAGTAGTGCCCTTTCTGGGTTCCGCTTTCTGGGTTCCGTGTCAGGGTAGCGCCCTGGGTTTGGCACGCGGAAGAGAGTCCTAGCAACCACAAGACTCCCTTGTTTGTGTGGGTGTGTGCATTTTGTCGTGGAAGCTCCTTTTTTATGTCTTGAAAGCGAACCCAGAAGGAAACCTTTGTTTTGGAGCTACCCTAAAAAAGACCCCCACTCGCCACCCGCCTTGCAGGGCCAAGGGAAATCAGCGCAAAAAATGGCCGACCCAAGGTCTCAGGCCCAGGCTCTTGCGCGGAAATGACGAGTCGAAAAACATGTGGCTGTGGGTCAAGAATGGATAACACTGGAACCCTGGCAAATTTAATGTTGACTCAAATGGCTGTGGGACAAAAGTAGGGTAACCCCAACATGGGTTGCCCTGGTAAATAGGAACATGGACTAAAACCTGCTGTCCCGTGGTGGTTTTATTTTGCCCCAAAGGATACTTGTGCTCCTCCCAAATAGTAGATTTCCGTACATGGTTTCCCTTTCAGCCACCCCAAAGAATGGTACCAACTCAAAAAAGGACAGAGACTCACTTGCCAACCGCTTTAGACCCCTGATTTGAGGACCCATATAACCAAGTCTCCGGCAGTTGATTCCAACCTGGAAAGAATGGGAAAGGTAGCCCATGACGTCTTCCAGTCGAGTTGCCGAAACCAACTGGTTGCTTCCATCCGATGGGCACCTGTCGGCATCGTTTGGAATGCTGCAGGGCTTCCGAGCTGTTTCCCCCTCTTTGGGACTTCCAGAAGAGGAAGCCCTTCGTTTCCGTGGACACCATTCTAGGGGCACCTTCCCCATTCTTTCCAGGCATTCTTTCAATCAAACCTCCAAAAACTTCTGGGGAAACAGCGATCGGTTTTTGAAAAGAAGGATGGTTGAAAAGAATGGGCAAGGAATCAACCCCTAAGTTAGGTAATGTATAATAATGTGCTGGGTCTAATTCATAATCTGTTAAACACTGTTTTCTGAATCAGCCCCTAGAACCATCAAATCGATCAACTTTTGAAGGAGAAGTCCGGTTGGAAGTTACCGCAGCCGCCCAGGAGGAAGTCCCGCAAGTGGAGCAGAGGCAAAATTGGTGCCGAGCCGAATTTGTCTCGTCGGCCGCAGCGGCCTCGCCGGGGTACTGAGAAGGGGCCGATTTTGGTTCGCAACGCTCAAAGATGGACAGGTAATGTCCACCTCTGATTAACAAACCCCTTTCCTCCCCAAACAACCGAGGTCCCTCAAAAGTTGGAACATTCATGAATTGTAGGTGTACATTAGTTTGTGCCCAGTCTTGTTTCCCAACAGCTGAAAGCTATGTCTGCCCAGATAGGCTCGTCCGGGTTGGCTTGGTGCCGCTGGCTTTGAAGGCACGCCATTTGCGACCACCACCATTTTTGTGGCCGAAAACTGAGACAAACCAATCTCTCCGAAAAGGTGCATGGGTATGTGTTTCCCGAGGTACCCTTTTTCAGCTTGGTTTAAAGGAACACTAGTTGAAAATGACACCATATTTTTTGTCGGTATCCTTTGATTGACGCATTCCCATAAAGATAGTTAAGTAGTTGCTAAGACCAAATGACAACGTGGTTTGAGTGCTGCTCAATTGAACATCTGCCAAGTCTCATGTTGGTCTTCGCAGACGGCCTCCTTTTAAGGTGTCCTCTGTTGGTTTTCTTTTGGCTTCCGGGCTTTCTGTTACCACTATAGTAGGCTTGTTCAGGGGAACCAACCATTGTAAGACCTGGTCAGGATCACTTGCAAACCTCTGGCGAAACGCTCGGAAGCGCTGAGTTTCATTGTTTCCTTTTGCAGGTGTCATCTCTCCTCGAGCTCCTTGCCACATCGATTTCCGGGAACTTGGATCCTGCTTTAGGCAAGCCAGTATAAGATATGGAGCCCCTCAGACATGGGACGCTGTCCTTTTGGTTTCCCTTTAAACCAACCCAAAGGTCACAAGATCCAAGCAGCCACACGGCAAACCAACAGACATATGCTACCCTCAGAAGGGTATATAACCACAACAAGGAACCTATCGAAGGCGGGTAGTCAGAAAACTTTGTGGTTCCCAGCCATCCCCTTGCTTTGTTAGCTTTTTAGGTTTTGTGGGGATTTCCATTTAACCCACTATAAGACCGACAGACCCCCCAAACTACCCCTTGTCACGCTTCCAGCTGTTGGGGAAAAAGCTTCCCTCAGACCAAAAGCCCCCCTCCCACACACATTTTCTTGCTGGTGCCCAGTAGCCAATGAGGGAATGAACCCTGGGGTCCTCTTACGAGAAACCACCGGTTGGATGGTTTATGATGTCATGCCAACTCTTTCGGTGCCTATCACACCAGCAAGATGATACCCGCTCAGACCAAACCGGCCCCCGCTTTTTTGGGGTGTCCTGCTCAGCCGTCTCCTTCTCGGTCGATGCGTCAGGCGGGTGGCCGGGTTCCGCGTCTTGGGCTCCGGCTGCGGGGTGCTGGCCATCGACAAGCCCCAGGCAGGCCGCCGGAAGATCGAAGGGGATGGGTGGCTCGTCATGTGGGTATGGGGCAAAATAAAACCACCAAGAAACCGCAGGTTTTGGTCCACGTTTCCACTTACTAGGGTTCCATTTGGGGTACCTGTTTTTGACCCACAGCCATGTTTTAGGATTACAACCCCCCCGTTACCCTTAATTGGTGGTTTGGACCATTTACCCCCTACAAGAACCAAGGGTTAAATCCCCAAGCCAACAATCCAAACCACCAATTAAGGGCTAGTTGATTGTTGGCTCATTTTAGCAGGGCGACGCAAACAACCGGCAGTTTTTTTTGCAAGCCCACACCAAGGGTTTGACGGATGAAGCAATGGTAACTTAATAGTACCCTACCGTTACCCGACTTAAATGTAGGCTCTACTGCATTCTTGGAAAAGGGTTTGAAGCGCACTTCTACGGTTGGCAAGTGCCACGTGGGAGTATATGGGTGTGTCTTTTTATGATGGTACCCTTTTTTGGATGGTTTTAAGGGGAGCTGCAAGCAAACCCCGCCAATTCTCAAGGCCCCCTATTTCGAGACAACCCCACGAGTATGTGTCATTTCCCTTAGGGCAAGCCGAAAAGAGTACACAAATTCCCAACGCCCCGGATGAGTCCATACTCAGCCGTAGGGTCCCTTGGTGCCTTCCCTCAAACCCATCAACTCCAACTGCGTCCGCCAAAAGAACATCCTCAAGATTACCCTCTGGCAGTTTGAAGACACCATTTCCCCAAAACGAGAATCTTTTTGGTCTTTTGGTGCCTTGCGAGGATGTTTGACCTCTTTCAACCCCTCAAAACCCGTCAACTCCAGCTGGGTCCATTAAAAATCACATCCTCAAGATTTGAAGGCACAATCTTCCCAACATCAATTTTGGCCACCCCTCAAAATCTTCCCACGCCCAGTTGCCGGGACGGGATGAGAGCCACTCGCGCCTCTGGCCTCTGGCGTCTCAGGGCGTGGAGACGGAAGTGGTGATCTCGGAGCTGCGGGCAGCGCTGCAGCGGCCCATCAGCTGCACCTCGCGGCTCGCCTCTTGGGCCGCACGGGTTTTTTCCTGACGATGGACTCGATGGACATGGTGGACTGGGTTTTGGTATCAGCCGGCTCAAGAAAGTGATTTTGGGGCCTCAAAATGTGGTGTTTTGGACAGGGGCACGATTGGGATGTTCACTGGGGGCACGCGCTTTTCACCCATGGCCAGTTGATTTGCTACTGGCTGCTCCAAGTCAAAATGAGTATTCCACGTCATCCCGAGATAATCACTTGTGATGCTCAAGCTGGCAAAATACAGGGCTCCTTAAAAGATCTCCATTTTGCCGGCCCATTTGAAACATGTTGCTTTTTCAACACCTTTTTTTTAACAAAAAAAATCACCACCATTTACAAGGCAATGTTCAGGTGTATAGGATCCCTCTTCCATTTGCTTAAGAACTAGGTCCCCCAGTGGTGCCCTTTTACCGTTTCTTTTCTGGGGGAGGGTTCCCCTACTAAAATAGACTACAGAAAAAGGGTTGCCCTTATTCTATCCTCTCCACTGCAGGACCTAGAGAATATTGTTTTATTTCCCCCGGTTGGTTTTTAGAGGGGATCTAATCACTGGAAATATGGCTCCTTTTTTGGGGGGCTTAAGCAAGTGGATGATTCGGCGGGTTACGCTCCCCGGAGCCTCTTGGGAACCCCAGCGGGGGCCTTACTTTGGTTGGTGTCGTGGGGCCCGAAAGCACATGGAGCCCAGCAAGCGCCAGTCGGGCGTACCTGAGCCAGCCTATTGGAGGGTCCAACTTTGTGTTTTTTTCGAGACAAAGGTCATTTGGGGTCATTTTTCTTCTGTTGAGGTTGTACATTTGGACTCCAAAACTGTGAGAGTGTGTCATTTTTTCTTCTTTTAGGCCAACCTGAACGGGCACACCAATTCCCAACGTCACGGTGTCCATACTGACCCATAAGGCCCCTTGGGTTTTTGCGGTACTTCAACCCAAACAACAGGTGTTTTGTTCGTGGGGTCGAGGGTTTAGCGTCCGTTTTCGCGGGTTTTCGCGGGAAACAAAATCTTTGGGCCGAGGATTTGCCCACCTCCGGGGTGTTGCCGGTCGCCTTGGGGGACGAAGGCCTCTGGTCGCCCATGTTTCGCGTCGGGGAGCGAGCGATGGAGCGGCCCCTGAATGAAGGGGCGTGGGATCACTCGGGGTGTTGCCCCAACCACTTCTGTGATACTTTTGAGGAAATCTCCTCCTTTGAAACGGAGATTGGGGGGGGGGGGTTTGACTTTGGGAACCTCATTTTAGTTGTATCACAGTGGATGCCATTTCCCACAGCCCTGCCCCTGAATCAAGGGGCGCGCGTCAACATTTTGGGACCCCCCAAGGTGGCTGAACGGTTTTCCTTTTGGTTTTCCTTCAAAGTCTCCCCAGCAAAAGGTTGCCCTCAAGAAACACCCCGAAATTACAGTGGGATCTTCAAACGTGATTTTTCACCCCTGGTTTGAAGTAACACCAGGAGCTCGCCCGTTTTGGAGTCTTCCCACAGTGGGGGCTCCCAGTGGATCCCACCTTCTTGGGTCTTTGGAGTCCCTGGTTTTTTTGTGCCATCTCTTGCCTCCCTAGTAGGGGGCCTCGTTTAAGGTTAGCCCACATGGCTGTGGCTCAAAAATCCGGTACCAAAATCAACCTGGTAAGTGGAAACATGGACCAACACCTGCGTGCCCCCTCCTGTAGGATTTTGAGCCACACCCACATCTGCGCTAAGTGGGCCATGACGGTCGTCAATAGGCGTTAAAGTATTGCCCTCCCAGCCTTTTCACGCTGAACCTGACGTGTCGGCCGTTGCCGGTTTGGAACATTTTCCCGTTGAAAGGACCATTTCCCAATGTCAGGTTCCATGTCAATTGGTGGAAGTACAAACCGTGCAAGCAACTTGCTGCTCAGTAGGGAATGACCTTTCCGGGAATGAACTGGAAGGGAACTCCCTTACAGGAAACCACCAGTTATATAGTTATATAGATGGTTTTGGTCGGGGGCATTCCATTTCTCATTCCCTGCCTACCGCAGCAGCAAGACAAGAGCGAACTCATTCGTGTCCTTTTTGTTTGCAGGCAATAGACGGCGATTCCTGGTTGAGCAAACCGAGGTTGACTGCTGGAACTATCTCCATTGCCATCCATTGGGAAGGTGCAGAACTTGCCCAGCAAAAATGATGCTCCAATATGGCACCTTGGTAAATGGAACAACTGCGTAACCTTAGTTTTTGTTTCTCCAATTTTGAGCCACAACCCAATTGGAGGGTTCAACAAACTCTAGTGGTTTCTTGACTGCTAAGTGGGTTGGATCTTTAGACTTCCAAACTTTTTTGGGATATCAAGGGGTTCTCCATTAAACCCACAAAAAGTTTTTTTTTTTTACTTTTTGCAGAGGGGTCAACAGCAACCAAGGTGTTTCCCCTTCCCAAGGCACACGCTTGCCCAAACCCCGCCCCTTCGAGGCTCCGGCGCCACCCAGTACCTGCGCGCTCAGTGGGCGGCGCGCCTGGTATCCAAGCAGTGCCCCAGCCGGCAGCCGGAGACGCGGATGGATTCGCCGGGGTACCTCCGGGATTTGGTTGATGTTTCCTCAGGAATTGGGTTGATGTGTTCCAATGACCACTCGAATTCCCCAGCAAACTTTACATAGTATACACTTGGGGTCGACCATGTTGCGCTTTTACCAGCCAATGTAGAGGGTCCGAATGCTTGCGAAGAAGTGTGGGTTTTGGATGAATCCTTTTGGCATGAACTTACCCAAGTTCACCAGCGAACACTAGGAAGTTCACCCTTAAAGGTGACCCTTTGCCATGTTCCTTTTGGCTTAAAGGGTGGTTCCCTTAGTTACTTACAGGCAAACGGATCCACAGGAAACATGTTCTTAATCATGGATCCAAGTTACAACTACAGGTGGCCAGCCGTTTTCCGTAAAGTTTTTGCGTGGCGGCTCCGTTGGTTAGCGCAACTTGCCTGCTGTGCATGGAAATGGGATCACCAGATAAGCTTTGATGGTTGGTTTTGATCCGTGTTTGTCTTGTCGTGTGTTTAGCTTCCTCTGGTCTTTTTTGTTGTTGATATTTGTGGTTCTTCATGTTGGTTTCCTGTTGCTCTATTGTCTCTGGTGCTCTTGTTTGTTGGTTTGCATTGTCGTTGTCGTTTTTTCCCTTTTGGGGCAGTTTGCCCTGTTTGTTGTTCGTTTCTTCCGGATTTAGGATCTATTGGTTTCCATTGTTTGTGCGGGCGTTCCTTGCTTCATTTCTGGGATCTTGAATGACCTTAGATTTTGGGGGAAGTGTTCACAGGGTATTGCCGACTCCAGGCTGATGGTTCCCTTTCGTCCTTTTGGTTTCTTTTGGATGGGTGTCGGCCTTCTTTCTGTTGGTGTTCTTGTGGTTTCTTTTCGGTGTTCTTTGGGTTTCCCTTTCTCTCCTATGGTTTGCTTCTGGCCTCTGTTGGGTTTTAACTCGGTGTCATTTTCTTTTTGGTTTCCATTGTGTCGTTTCATTTCCTTGGGATTTCGTTTTGGCATCTTGCCCATCAGTCAGGCAACCCGGTTTGGATTTGGATTTCAAGCCCTGGTTCTTGAGAACAATGGGGTTTTCCATCCCGGAACACCTCCAAACCGGGATCCAAACCACCAGGAAGCTGATCAATGATTTGCTCATTGTTCAATAGGGGTCAACAAAATTTTGGGTTTTATTCCATGAAAGAAACATGGTTGGATGCTCAATTCTTTTTTGCCCCATTTTTTTTTACATGGAAGATCCCCAACAAGGAACCGGCCAAGAATTGGGCCAAAAAAGGTGCGCGCCGCTCGGCAGCTCGGCGCCTCAGCCGCGAAAACACGCGAGGTACCTGTGCCTTTGCGTGGGCGAGGCCTTGCCCGCCACGCGCGGCGAGATCCGTCGAGGGATCCGCCCGGTGCCTGGCAACCTGCTGATGCAAGAGGTGTCTCCATACGGGCGCCCAGCCAGGACCAGCGAAAGGCAAGACACAAAGCACGCAGCTGGGGCGGAAAATTTGGTTGGGATATTTTTTTGCTGATTCGTTCAGGGTGGGAAGTTGGTTGGATTTGTTTTCACTCTGTCACCGAGAAACATTACCCGCAAGTGGCAACCAACTCTGATTTGAAAGGCCTGAGCTCCACGCACCGGACCCACTGCTCGCTTCCTGCGAACAGAAAGGCGTCGACATGTTCTACAACCTGCCCTTTTAGGTGGGAGTTGTTGACATCACCTGTTTGGTCAGTTTAAAGTGCGTTGCGCTTGGGTTTGGGTGATGTGTGTTTTCCCGGCGATCTGTGGAGATGTTCTTTTGGGAGCCCAGTTGCTGTTTTTTGTATGTCGTTTCCAAGCTGGACACCAGTGTTTGCATTTTGGTATAGTTTAACGTTGAACACCCCGCGCGTTTTACTTGGGTGCTCCGTTGCTGTTTGGCGGAAAGGTTCTTGTTCCAGGTCAGTGCCACGGAAGGATTCATTCTGGCCGCTTCTTCAGAAAAGGTCTGGCCCCGCAATTTGTAGATATGGGGCTCGTCATGTCACCAGGTGACAAACTAGATTGGTATGTGTCGAAATAGGGGGTCCGGCATGGATGGTTGTCCTTTGATTTGATTCCCCTGTGAAACGCGCCCAAAGAATCCACGAAAGGAAAGGCCCGAACAAGATCACGTGGCCTTGGTCGCCAGAGCCTGGCCGGGCCATGATCACTTCGCTGTGCCTGGTATGTTTTTGAAATAGTTACTTCCCTGGTTTCGTCATGGCCAGCAGCCAATCTTGGAGGGAGATTGGGAGTTTCTTGAAACCGTGGACCCCTTCAATCAGCGAAACGACAAGAAAAGGCAAGCGACCAAAGAAGGGCGGCCAACTTTGAGAAACCACCCAAGTACTCCTCATGAAGATTCCTGGCGATCCAAGCCACTGCACGCGCGCAGGACCGCCTACCAAGTCTTGGCCTCTTATTCCCACCCAGAAAACGAGTCGACGCTGAGCCTGGTGCAGGTTCAGCTGCTGACTGGTCCCTTGGATGGAGTGTCGACCGGGGTCGATGAGTTTTTTAACAATTGGAGCCACCTCCAAACTGGGTGAACATGAAAACCCCCACCAAATTTTGGGCCCCTACTCAAGATTCACGCCACGTTTGTTTTCAGGCAAAGCTGGTTGGTGAACATGAATTTGCTCTTGTTTTGCCTTTAAACAACCCAACCAAAAAACGGTAGTTCCGGGCATGTTCGAGACCGATGTTCTCACAACTTCAAGCAAGCCCCACTCGACCCCCAGTTTTTGGTGGAACCCTTTGGCCTTTTTTGCTCGGCGGCTTTCCCGCAAAAAGCCGTGTCAACCAAAGAAGGCGTCCGAAGTCTTTGTTTGCCAGGATCCCTGAAATCTCCGGCATATGTTTCAATGTTAACCAATGAAGCAGAATCTGAACATATGGGTATGTCTCCAAATAGGGCAAAACCCAACATGTATTTCGGTTTTCACCTTGATTTCCCTTCAAGCCAACCTTAAAACGGGTACCGTCTCCCAAAACGACACACCCCCAAAGGTTGTTCTTCTTTTGGCTCCACGCGACGTAGGTCGCAAGCATCAGATCCGGGTGCATTTTGCCAGCATTGGCCGGCCACTTGCGGGTGACCGACGCTACGGAGGCGCCGCGGCGTCGCGGCTCGTTGGCTCGTCTTGTCGACTCATGGAACCCAGGCCTCCAGTATCCGTCAAAGCCCGAAGCGAAGCTTCGCAGGTTTTGATTCGAACTCAGTTGTCCCTGTTTGGGCCGGCTTTCCAACGAGTTTTTCAACTTTTTTCTGGGGTAATGTCAAGCCAGGATTCATGAATCCCTGGTTGACTCAACAGGAGGCTGCCACACTCGATTTTTACCAGCAACTCATCCAAAACTTGTGAAACGAAACGGGGACGTTCGCCAGAAAAGCGGGACGTTCGCCAGGACGTTCTCCTCAGCAACCGGCCGATTTTCTGGTGACTTTCTGTGAAGTGCTCATGGTTGCTTAGCCCAGATATCGTGGAACCTCCAAAGAAGTTCTGAATGTTCGAGGAATTTGGCAATTCCTTTTTATGCGACTCCCTGGACCCCCGTTATTCTACTCCATGTTGAATTTCATGGAGTAATTGGTTTGATCCTTGTAGGTTCTGCAACCATTTTGTGCGGTAAATTTCAGCCGCCCGAGAACCACGCTTTCGCTGATATGCCAGGTGCTGTTAAGAACTCATACACTCATGATCAGGTGTGGCCCCCAGTTGGGCTATGTCCCTTGATGTTTCTTTGGCCAGGAACGGTTCGTTCTGAGAAAGGAACCTTGCGTTTCAGTTTGTGGCAACAAATCGAACCCTTGTGACTTTGCGCTGGACTATTCTAGCTGGTGGCTGGAAGGGAGCCAAGTGGGCCAAGTTCCACTTTCAAGAGGGAGCTAAGGAGCTAGCATGAGTTCTGTAACGACATGGTAGTATTGAAGAAGCTTTGCTGTGTGTTCCTTTTTCATGCAACTGAAGCCACAGGGTCCCACATGAATGATGCATAGCTTGTCGTTGACCCCAATCACATAGCACAGATTCTAAGGATTTCTGTGTTAAACCCCGCAGCGCACCCGAGAAATTACCCCTTCAGGTGATGAGCCCAAATGCGAACCCAGGGTCAAATTTCCCAGGGTGTTTTTTCCAGGGTGTATACCAATACCCTGTTGGCAACTTGTTCCCTGTCCCAGCGGACAACCGCTGTCCAATGCCGACTTTTTTTCACCACTCGGGTTCCCTTCTTTGGCCCACTTCAGTCAAGATCCCAACAGGTGAGACAGGCGCTTTTCAAGTCTCATAGAATCCATCTACAGGCCTTTCCACGGAAAATTTTCGCCAACCACCCACCAAACAACAAGTTAATTGTTGGTAGAGCTTCCCTTTTTTGCAGGTTTCTTGGATCTTTCTTTGCTGCGCCCCCCCTCTGCCCGGGTGTCAGGCGCCAATGATTTTTGGTGCGAGCGGATGTTCCTGCACTGCCGGCGCTTACAAGTGCGAGACCTGCGAGGCGCGGGCATTGAACTGGGCGTGGCTTAGAATTGAGGGGATAAGAAGAAACATATTTAAGAAAATGGGCGGGGGGGGGGGTTCCCTTTCGTGCCCCTCGAAAGCAACGTCGAAATGTACCCTCGAAAAAACGCCGCTCCCAAATGAGCTCGCCCAAAATCCCCGAAAGGAGGATTCTGACAGGCATGGATCCGGGTAGGGGTCACTCTTCGGGGGGAGCTTGGAGCTCGCGGAATGTACGGAGATAGTTCTACTGCCTGGCTTCATGGGGTTTGAAACGAAGCTGACATGCGTCAAAGGCTGGCAGGCCTGCATCACTCCCAAGTTGGCCAGGTTTTCTTAGTGGTAGAAGTTGGTTTTTGTCTTTTGCCCCGCGTTTAGCTCCCCTGCAGATATGTTTTTCATGGGAGGCTCGGTTCCCCAAACGGAGGGTTGCTTGGGGATGGAGTTGTTGGTCCCACGTGAATCATAGGTGTAACTGGTTTAAGTATGATTCACTGAGGAATGTACATATATGGCGAGATAGATATGATATATGCATGTCACAGGTTAGTTGTGTCAAGGTTGGTGCTTCAGGGCTGAGACAAATGCTCAGAAAGGTTTGAAGGGATGCCTGTCTTTAGATTTTCCTTAGTGTCAGGGTTCCTGATCAACTTTGAAGGCTCAAAATGGTTCCGGATCGGCGCTCGCAGATCCAATCGGAGGGACACATGTTTCCATCAGGCGAGAAAGGGTCAACCGAGAAGGTGCCAGTACATTAACATCCCTTCCAAAAGTCCGACTCCTGCAAGCAAAAGAGCAGCTAAACACCACGGTCAATACGGGGCTTCCCGATCCCCTAGGTGCAATGCTCAGGGAAGTCAATCGTTTGGCTCGGTCTGGCGGTTTTGGGTCACCGGTGCCGTGGGTATAGTGGACGGCTTGCAGAAAGCCACTATAGGGGCCCGTCTTTTTTTTGGAGGAGCCTCCACAAAATCGGTGGTTTTCCTTTTGGCTTTTCCTTTTCTTGTAAATCCACCAAAAAAGGAAAAGGTACCATCAGAAAAGGGCGTGGCCCACCCCACACAGCAATCCTTTTTTGTCCCACAGCTTCGGAGTCCTTTTGGCTTCTCAAAAACAAAAAGCCCCAAAGGGAACTCCAAAACACCCACCTGGCAATGGGTCGAATTTGTCACCGAACAACTGGTTGGGTTTTAGTCCATGTTTCGACTTATTCTTGGGCCAGCCATCTTCGGCTCCGTCGAACGCCTGCGTCGAGGCCGGCGCTTGGTGGTGAAGTCCCCGCTCCCAGCGGAGCTGGCGGCGCTGCTGAAGCGGCTGGAGAAAAAGCGCCTCGCGCACATCGCGCGCGCTGCGCGGTTGGACGGTTGGGTGCCACCCAGACCTGTGGACGGCTGCGAAATCCGTTCGCACCACCTAAGAAACCAGGGTTGAAGCCATTGTTGTTGTAATTTTCCATGGAAGCGAATCTGGCGCAAAACGGATTTTGTGCATCCACAGTATTGCCCGCCGGGATTCCGGCGCGACAAAAGCCGCCGGGAAGGATCTGGGAGGGGGGGGGGGGGCAAAGCCGCGGTAAATCAATGTCTCGAAAAGCAAGGGTCCGTTTTCTTGATTTTGGGAGGGAGCTTTTACTCTCCTTCACCTCTGTTGCCCGGTGGTGCCCTTTTTTCCTTTTTTTGGGGAAGGGTTCCCCTTTAAAGTCAAGCAGCCAGAAAAGGATGCCCCCCTTTTGTTGCCATGGAAATCCACTGGGCATCTGAGTTCCGGTTTGAAATCTTGAGACGTTGAGACTTGGAGGTAGCCACCTACGATCAGTTCAAGACCATCTACGGGAACTTTGGCATCAAGGCGGGGGGGTTTGGCGGTTTTGGGCCTCGCGCCTGGCGTGGGGAAGAGCACAAATGAACCTTACCATCCCACGCAAGATCCCCCACTATTGCCTGGTAAGCAGTGACTCCCACATTTTCTGCGTTTTTTTCCGTTTGGTTTCCTTCAAAAAACGCCAAACAAGAGTATCCTCAAAAACGAGACACCCACCTTCCCCGGGAAGAACGCCGCAAGTGTCGCAAGAGCGGGCAGCGAGGAGCGTGGATTTGGCAGCAGGAACAGGCGAAGGATCCGGGGCCTGCGCAGAGGATCACTGTACACTAGAGCCGCGCCCATTTTTTATACCCAGCTGTGTTTGTTTTGTGTATGTGTGTGTATTGGTTGTGTTGTTGTTTTTTTTGTTTGGGGGGTATTTTTTTTTTTTTTTAAAAAAAAAAAAACAAACACTTTTGCCATATCCGAAATCGGACAGCCCAGCACATTTATCTTTCTTTTGGTTTTAGGCAGCTTTTTGCAAGGCCATACTATTTGGGTTGCTTGTGCACCGATCTTCAAAGAAGCTCTCAGCCACCCATTAAGATCGTTAAGATTAATGTGAGTTGCTACTTTGTGTTTTGGGGGGTTTTAGGGTTTTAGTGATTTTCAATGTAACAGTTCATTAGTGGTTTTATTGGTTTTAGTGTTTTTTTTTTGGCTTTTTTTAGTGGTTTTCGGTTTGTCTGTGGGGGATGCTGAGTTGTCGTGTCTTGTCAGGGGAATTCCAATGTGGTGGCGTCCTCCTTCACCGCCGGCCTGGCCTGGGCCCCGAAGACCCAAGGACGACCAGACGACCAGACGACCCTAACGTGGTTGACAGGGAACTGGCCTTTTTTTTATAAACAAAAATATTTAAAACCCCTTAGCGGCGTTCACCGGAAACCAAGGGAAACTCCGAAGCCATTTGGGGGGGAGGGAGGCAGGATGCACTTGGTCCATTGGAAAGAGGGTATTGGCCCTTGACTCACAGCCCCGAAACGGATTGCTCCGAGCCTCTTGACAAACCGAGAGAGCATTTGATGTACCTTGCCGATCGGGAACCCTGAGCAGGGTAGTGTGAAGGGAAATCACCAAGCAGACCCCGGACAAATTAAGCAAAGATTGCCCAGTTTTATACCTCAGTTTCCCCGGGAAATGGTTGGTTTGGGTAGTGGTTGCCCCATTGTAGAGCCGGCACTGTCCTCTTTGTCGGATCCTTCACGCCGAAAACGACACCGAAATTCCTTGCCGTTCGAGGAGCCGACGAAGCGGTGCGTTCTTTTTTGACTGTTTTGGTTGAAAATCCAACTTGGATTTCCCAAAATTCACGTGGCCAACGGTTTCCAGAAAAAGCTGACATGCCTTCTGTTGTGTTCTGTTGTAACCCCCCTTGTTCAAGGGAAAATCAAGTGTAGTGCTTTTGTCTAAACTAGGACCTTTTTCATTGGTTCAAAGCCTCATGATGTGAAGCACAAGGGGGGTAAAGACCGAAAACATGGCGCTTAGGTCTATTCCATCATCACCATGCCCTTCGAGGCCTTCTTGGCACCTTTATGTGAGCAGAGATGGCCGATTGGCCGCTCGCAAGCTGCCGACATGGCAAGGTTTCGAGGGTTCCTGGAGGCCGTGGGGCAGAACCATTTGCCTAGGTTCTCTCACCGATGTCTTTCATACTTGAAACCCGAGTGTTCCCTGTCTCCCGAAGAAAAGAAGCAAAGAAGCATCCCCCTTTTATTTGCATGGTTGGTGCCTTGATTTTTCCGGACCAGGTGACATGGTTCAACAGGTTTGGGGTTTCCATTGATTTCTCCGCAGACCACAAGGCTTCTGCCACCTTGGGTGTTGATCACTCAATGGTTCCAGTCGCGAAAGCACAGGACAATCATGTGTTCCATTCGAACGGAACCCATTTTTTACCGATTGATCCAAGTTGAGTCGAAGATCACACGCGTTGCTTCTTTTTGCGAGAAAACAAAAGAAAGGAAAAGACCTTCTGTTCAGCAGCGGCGGTCCATTCTAGAAAACGGGGTGTGCGGCGAATCTGCGGATTTGGCCCTGTCAGATATCAGAGAGTGCCAAAAGAGCATCAGATTAAAAGCCCACAAACAGGGACCAACAAGGAGGAACATGTGGAACTAGTGGCCACATCATTCCCTCCCCCAAAAACCCACTGGATCTCCGAAACCCGACAGACGCGGCTCCGAAAACCGGTTTCCAGCCGCTCGCTTTTTTTTTTGCTTTCGGCGCCAGCTAGCTGTGCCAGTCTGCCAAGAACCGCATGGCCTCTCAGAAGCCTGACCCGGAGACCAAGCAGCTGCCGTGCCCCAATGAACCGAAGCGCTCAGCGAACGAAGGAACGAATCCGGGTCTCTGAGCACGTGCGCAACCTTTTAATTCGGGAGTTTGGGGGTGGCCAGATGAAGAAAGCTGGTGCTTTTTCTTCCCCAGAATTAGTCCCCCTGTTGCTTTTTATTTGCTTTGTTGGGGTTCCCTTTGTTTTCCACTACCGGGCCAAAAATATCATCTTTTGCTTTTTTGAGGGGTTTGGGAGGGCGCTTTTCGTGTGAGGTCGATGGGAGTATGTCTTTAAACCATCACTTCCAGGGTGATTTTGAACATGCGACTGGCCCAGGCTCTCGACTGGTTAAGATTGGTAACATGTTTTTCCTGGATCCTGGGCTTGGGGTGCCGGGCAAAAAAAAGGTCGACACACCTCTTAGTCTTCCAGCATGAGAGAAGCACGACGGGTTGTGAAAGGAATCATGCCCAATGCGCACGGGCGGAGCTTGGATCATGCAAGTCTCGGAACTTCTTTGCCGATATGAAGCACCAACCCCTGGTAGGTTTTTGGTGCTGACGCCTCTACGGCAGCCAGAAATTTTGATGTATTCTTGCGGAAACCATGCTTCCCCTCTCAGACTGCCCGCACATGGCAACATGTTCACGTCGTCAGCTGGGATAGCTGGAGATTCAGAAGTTCGTCCGGTTTCAGGACACTGTCGAAGTTGCAGTTTCGCTGCGGCGAAATGCACACAACGCCCTTTATGATGGGACCGTCGTGGTGAATTATGCACACTCCAATCCTCAAAGAAAAAGAGCCATGTGTGCATTTGTCTCAGCGAAGCTGCGATTTTGAAGGACGCCGTCACCTTGTGTTATTTTGGGTTCATTAGAGAGTTGGCTTTTAAGGAGATTGGCCATGACAAGTGACTAGGTCCCCCAGTAGTGCCCTTTTACCCTTTTTTGGGGGAGGGTTCCCCTACTAGAATAGGCTACAGGAAAAAAGGGTACCCTTATTCTAACCTTTCTACTGGAGGACCTACGTACTGTAGGTGAAGTCATGTTGCTTTTCCGTTTGGCAGCTGTCCATAGTCAAGGCTTTCGCTTGAATCCGAGCCATCCGGCCACGCAGACACATTCGCCCCATGCCACGTCGTAGTGTCAGCCCCTTGCCGCCAGAAAGGCCGATGGCGCCACAAAAAAGCTCATTTGGGGAACGCCTGCCACGTCCGAAACCGTCACGGGGTCCAGGTCCGGGGTGTGTGTTTTTAGGTTTTTGTGGGGAGTCAGACCACTTTTGGAGGGTTCAAAACCACCCCCTTATTATTTTTTGGGGGGTTGATCAACAAAGAGTCAACATTACCAGGTACACCTGCTGGTGCTCAGGAATGAGACATGGGATGACCTCACAAAAAACACCATACCAACTGCTGGGTTTCCTTTGTGTGGAGGCAAGGGCTTAGGTGCATTCCATTTCTCATTCCCTAGCTGCAGCAAGTTGCAACGCTCCCAGGTACCGTGGCACAATGCAGACCATTTCCACCGTGGCAGGCGCGCGAGCAGGGGCCGATGCATTGCTTTGAGACGTTTGCGCGATTTTTGAGTTGGCCCTTCGGAACCAGCCGTCCGGTTCCTGAGGCTTGGTTTCGTTGGTGAAAGGTGGTTGGTTTCCGTATTTAACTCAGTTAAACTTTTAGGGGATCTGAGGACAGGTTCAGTTAGCGAACATCAACTCACACACATGTGAGCTCTTGGATTTTGCATTTTTGTGTCGAGATCGTTTTTGTTTTAGAAAGCAACCGCCATAGGTTTTCTTTGGGCCCACTCAGGAAGCGATCCAAATGAGCCCTACGAAAGGAGGGCTTTTCTTCCTTTTGACGGGATCCCGGACTAGCTTTTCAGTTGGTTTGGATGCCTCAATCATGGGATCCCCTACAAGCCCCCGCTCAAATCTAAGCCCTCCGACTGAGCAGATTCTGTTGGCCTGTTGTTTTTTTCCGTGCGTTTTTGCTCGTTGGTTTCAAAGACGAGTTGCTTCTTGGTGAACCCTGCGTTGTGCGGCAGGAAGCCTCATACGACAGGGTTTGCTATATCTCCTTTTTTTGTGGTTTAAACATCACCTTTTTGCTGAGCATCTGTTAGTGGGGGTGATGTTTCAAGGGGAGATATAGGGAGCCCTGCACGAGATGAATGCCCTCCTCCTGGATTGTGTTGGACAAACACGGCACAACGGGGCTCGTTACCGTCTCTTGGCTCCTGGCCTCCCTTTCTACTGCTTTCTCGGCCTCTGTGGAGGTTTTGGTTGGTTCCACAGTCATCTTTTGGTGCTGCAAGTCACATTCGCCACCGTTTTTGCTGGCATGCCAGGAGGTTGGGAAGGTCGGAACATTCTGCTCCTCCAATCGATACCAAGGGTTCTGGAAGTTTGACATGTCAAGTGCCACCATTTGCCAGGGTAAGCCACCCTTCTGGTGAGCTGCATGCCAGGAGGTTGGGAAGGTCGGAACATTCTGCTCATCCAATCGATACCAAGGGTTCTGGAAGTTTGACATGTCAAGTGCCACCATTTGCCAGGGTAAGCCACCCATTTCTGGTGAGCTGCTGATTGGTACCATGGAGGGCCAGGGGGTGTTCCTTTTTGTCGGGGGCTTGGGGACAGGTAGCTTGCTTGTTTGGATGCCGAAGGGAAAGCAGAAGAGGCCCAAAGATGCCACTGAGAGCACAACCCCAAAGATAAATTTTATTCCTTCGCCCTGTCTGCTGCTCCAGCTTTTTCTATTTTTTTCCGGGTTGAGATTCCATGTAAAATCAGCCTGGTTACAAGAACAGGTACCCTGGTAAACCACAGGTGCTCCAGGCAACCTATGGCGACCTGAAGGGGGTTGCAACCTTACCCATGAGAACACTCTGCTGATTTGGTTTATTTCAGGTTCAGGGAACAACGCAATTTGCCCTGACTGTCTAGAAAACGTTTCAGATGTGCCTTTTGCGCTGATGTCACCCGTTCTTCTCAATGTTGGTCCTTTTTGGAATTCATTCAGCACTCTTTCAATACAGGGTGGATCCACCAGAAGCCGCGTCCAAACCGTCTTCCACCGGCTGCAAGTTCTAGGTAAGGAGGGCGCGCTGGCCCTGTACAATGGCTTCTTCCCCTACTTCCTGAGGCGCTGCATTTCGCCGCTTCGCGCTCTCTTTTTTCGTCAGCACCAATGGCTCTTCGGAGATTTTCGAAATTGAGGAATTCCTTTGTCCAGCAGAAGACGTGGACGGGGCCTTCAAGAAACTGACTTTCAATCTCAAGAATCCTCTTTTTCTGCGGGGGGGGGGGAACGGGGTCTGGTTGCCAACCATTTCCGGTGCTTTGGTCTTCTTCTCCGGCGCCCAGGGTGACCGATTGTGTGGACCGTCCTATCACTGGCCGCGATGCCAACTGATAATAACGTCCCAAATCCCCGATGTCACAGGCTATTCACGTAAGAAACTGAAAGGGGAGAAAACCGGACATGGAACATGTGGGGCTAAGTGGGGGGGGGGTGGACAAAATGGAAGCACTTGTTGGAAAGGCTGACACTGGCACTTCCGGGAGGGTTGACTCGGCCTTTCGCGGTTCACCTCCTTGCCAATCTCTTCAAGCTTTTGCCGTGCATGTTTTTGGAGTTGGCATTTTTTGGAGTGGGCATCCTTTGCGCAGTGAAAACAAGTCTAAGGTCCGTTCGACATGGGACTCACTAAAGCATGGAGGAACCTGAGGAATCTTTTCCCCCGGCGAGGGATCCAAAGCAGTTTAGACCATGGGATTTCCGTGGCTAGTGGAAGAGCGTGGATGGCAAGTAACAACCCCCCCAATTGTGGCCCGGCCATTTCCTGGTGTAAATCGCATGTGTGCTAAGTCTGATTGTTGATTAGAGCGGCCTCAGCGGGGCTAGAGCTTCAGTACCCAGCATGCCCCAAACATGCTATGCGTCTTGGAGTTTGGGGACCCCAAAATGGGGGCAACGGTTTTCTGTTTTGGTTTGCCTTGAAAACCACAAACATGGGGTACCTCAAACAAGAAATATAGTTTCGCCCGCACTCTTGTTTCAACACGTCTCGATGGTTGGCGACCAACCTTATTTACCCTGGCACAAGAGCAAAATCAGGATCTACACACTGCGGAAACAGATTCGGGTGCACTTTTTGTGCCTTCCAACTCATATTGCCGCTGTTGGTTCTGTTTGTTTTCGTACTCTTTCAGTCGCCTTTGAGCGCACTCAAGAGGTTCCCAAGCGTACGCTGGAATGAGTGCACATCATGATCTATAAGGGCGGATTTACCCTTCACGTCCCAACCCTTGCCGGCAAGAAACATCTCTCATGTGTGTGTGTGTGTGTGTCTTGATGCAAGAAATCTCCCAGTTGCCAGCTTGAGCAGTCTGACCCTTGACAAATCCAACCGGTTTCAGTGGCAACTTGTTGGGAATGCCACAAAAGTCATCACAAGCGCAGATACTGTAGCAAAACCGCAATTTGATGCGTGAATGCTGGTGGATGATATGGCCAACATCATGTTTGCAGACCATTCCTTACCGCCTTGTATTGCTTTGACATGATTGAAATACCTTTCAAACACCATGCATCCGATTGCAAGCATTCTGCTGCCCACGAGCCAATAGGCTGGAAGTCTCGTTGCGAGGGTGCCCTCCTATTGTTTTTGTTTTTTTGGAACGTGAGGCCAACAGGAAAGCAACCATTTTTGGGGGTCCCGTGTTTTTGTCCAATCCCAAGAATATTGGAGATTGCTCCAAGGGTGCAATAGGCACCAGGTTTCCAGCCGTTTCTTCCTAGGGCCATTCAAAAAAAGCCGACTCTGACTGTTCACTTTGGCCCTCGGGGTACATCTGCCGGTTTGTTTGCCACCAGGTGCGGGGGGCACACCGTGCTCATGTTCTTCGCAGTCGAGAAGATGCAGAAGATGCACGCATGGGCCAACGGGAATGGGTTTTCGCTCTGCATGGCTCGGGCTCCGTGCGTCTTGGTTTAAACATCACCGCCAACTCAAAGGGGTGTTCCTTTTGCTTGTTCGTGCTCCGCTGGTTCTGACCGAGTCCGGGTTTTGGGTGTGAACCGGAACGGGATTCCCGAAGAAAGGAAACCAACTCGGGGATGGGTTACAGGGGTCATTCCATTTCTCATTCCCGGCTGATGGGGAAATATTCGGAACACTTGAGTGCCCTACTCACCCAATCGATTGAGCCTCTGATTCAGGGTGTTCTATAGAGGGAATCCTTTGCTGGGGACACATGGCCTATTGAATTTCCGTTCATTCATCCGGAGTTGGTAAGCTGCGGCATTCTCCTCTACGAGAGCTTACCCATGACGCATTCGCGAATCCCTTGAATGTGGTGCTTCACGTGGCCGGGGACGGATTGGGAGCCATGAGAAAGCCAACCAGAGACCTTGGTTCGCCTCAGGCCGCGGGCCCCGCTCGATTTTGTTTTTGGAAATTCGGAGCTTGATCTGAACACGGGGGAGCAATGCAAGTCTTCCACGTGCTGAAAGGCGATTTTCTAAAAACAAAGTGGTTTTGAAGGGAATCGATTTCGCTACTGGACATGTTTTATTTGTTGTTTTTTCCTTCCAGGGGACGTATTTTCGCAACTGGAGGAAGTCCGGAAGGCTATAATGGCGGACCAAAAGAGATGTCCGGCTTTGACTGGGGTCTTCCCCAGGAACAAAAGGCAACCCCCTTAGCCCAAATGGATGGTTTGGAGCGCGGTGGGATTTGAAGCCCAAATGCTCTTATGGAGGTTAAATGGAAAGCACCTTTTTCCAGTTCACCAGCTAGGTGCCCCAGTGCTTTTTTTTACCGTGTCTCTTTTGGGGAGGGTTCTAGTAAAATAGACGTGAAGAAAGGTTGGTACGATTCTAAGCTCCAAAACTGGAGGACCGATTCAGCAGACCGGTTCGGCTCGGGCTCCAAGTCACCACTCGGGGGAAGCTGCCCGAAGCCGTAGGAAGACCACCTGTTGCCGCTAAAACTTGGACCAAGCCATGGAACCTGAAAAAGGCCCCGGACCAAATGGGTCATATCATATCATATATATATATATATATATGCACCCCCCCCCCCGCCCCCTATGGACCCTGGTTTTACTGCCTTCTGGGGATGGTAACACTAGAATTTCGAGATGTAAATTCTCGCCATATATACATATTATTATTATTATTATTATTATTATTATTATTATTATTATTATTATTATTATTATTATTATTATTATTATTATTATTATTATTATTATGTATTATATTATATTATATTGGATTATATTATATTATATTATATTATATTATATTATATCATATCATATCATATTATATTATATCATATCATATTATATTATATTATATTGTATTATAGTATATTATATTATATTATATTATATCATATCATATCATGTCATGTCATATCATATGATATTATATTATATTATATATAGCATGTGTTTGGGCATAAGGCGGGAATTCGTCAAGCAACCCAGCAACTGTTGGGCATCGCCGCTTCGCTGTTGGCTGCCACTGCCACTGCCACTGCCACTGCCACGGCTACTGCTACTGCTGCTACTGCTACTGCTACTGCTACTACTTCCATGAAAGCACTGGGCAAGCATCTTTCGGCCGACTTTTGTCACAGTCGTAGTTACGCGCTGGCAGGTACCGCACGATGGGCTGAGCCCCAAGTGGGCAGTTCCTGCCTAGGGTTCAGACCGGGTCTGAGTGTCAGAAACAAGGAGCTCGGCCTCCCTTTGGCAAAGGGACTCGGTTTCCCTCTTAAGCTGTGGACATAAATTTGGTCTCCCTTTAACCATATAAACTTATTTAACCATGACTGAGGACATATTCAGTCCATTTTTCCCAACAATGACTAACATGGGGTCTCCCTTTGACAATGACTAACATGGTCGTTATCCATTGGGTTTCCCTGTATACAACCATGTAAATTTGGTCTCGAGTTCTTTTAGGGGTCCCCGTTTGAACACTTGCCAGTCCTATGGATCCTTTCGGCCCCTCACGCAAACGTTTTCCGGAAGAGCGGTTGTACAAAGCTGCGCAGAAGCCGCAACGGCAATGCCCGGCCAGCCGGTTCTGGGCTGATGGCCGGCATTTCTGGCAGAGTTGTGTTGAACGGGAATCCCCCAGTTGGGTTCATTGGCGGTCAACCAAAAACAGGGCCAGAGGCAAGCCCCTTGTTCCAACAGCGGAGAGGTTCTCCTGATTCTCCTTTCGGTGGCTTATCAGACTTCAGCCCAGAACTTGACTGCCGGCCCACAAAAGTCCATGGATTTTACCTCCCAGAAAAGTGCGCGGATCGGGCGATGCATGCAGTGCACGCGCTGAGCAGATCTCTCTTTAAGGGGCGCTGATGGGCAAGCCAAGGACCATTCGCCCGTTGGGTGTGTCCTGTGCTGTGGTTTCAAAGGGAAGCCAAAATGAAAACCACCCATCTTTGGGGTCCCCTACAAAAAGATACACCCATTTAGGGCACATGGGGCTCTGAATCAGAACAGTCGTGTCGCGGTAAATGACGACGATTCCTCCATGTTGGTTACTGCCCTTTTCTCGAACCCCACAGACAAATATGTACCATTTGTTTTTTGCTTGTGCGACAAGTACCAGGTCTCCCCTCCCCCCCAGAAGGGTGGATGGCTGCAGCCATTTCGGCTGACTCATTCGAGGTGTACTCCAGTTCTTGGCCATGGGAAACAGTGCGCCGGCGGCGAAGGCGGCGATTGCCAAGGGCGCGAAGATCCCGAATATCGCCTTGAGCAAGGGCTTTCCGCCCAAGAAGGCGGGGGGAGCGGTTCCTTCGTCTTTCGCGTTGGTTGAGACACGCCAAAATATTCAGCGGGTTTTCCTGTTTGTTGCCAGCCTTCCGGTTCCTTTTGTTGTTTTTAGGGTTTGGTGGGGTGTCCATTTAGGAACTACAATTCAAACTTGCAGGGGATCTGAGAGGTTTGCTCTGGGTTTTAGAGCCAACCTTGACAATTGAAATGCCGCACAAATCACCAAGCCTTTTGTTGTGGTAGCCTTGTGGGTGTAAGGGCCGTATTGAGAGACTCACTGCTTGTGCGTTCTCAGTCCCAATCTCAGGTTCACTAGGGCCGGTGGATTTCCATGGGAAACAAAGAATCGGCATCCTGTTTGGGTTGGTTCAGGTTGCATCGGAATCGGAACTTGCCCCCCAAAAAAAGTTGATTGAAAAGGGCGGAATCCACTGGGCAGCTGGGTATATGTACATATATACCCCCCACCCATGGACCTAAAACCAGGGTCCATATGGGGGAGGGGGGGTGCATATATGCATATACATAAATATATATATATATATATATTCATATATACTGATAGGATCTTTTGACCTTGGACCTTCGCCCATTCGCCAGGTCCCTCTCTCGGAGATTATCGGGGGGAAGAAGGTGGTCATGGTGGGCCTCCCGGGCGCATTCACCCCCACCTGATCTTCCCAACAAGTGCCTGGCTTTCTGGCAAAGCAAGCTGAGCCTCAGGCGGAAACATATCTGTTTGTTTCACAGCAACTTGCCGCACATTTGTGTTGGTGTATATATACATATATATATACACATGTATTGCCATGTGTTGATGTGGCTTTGATTTGTTTGGAGAAGTTGTTTTGTTTTTCCCGCATGTGCTATGGTTGTTGCTTGACACATGCTCGACTTTTCGACAACTCAGTAGACCTTTTGTTGTGATGGTTTGATCTTACGTGTGATGATCACACCAGAGATGCTTGGACATTAACGAGGCTGGGGCCCCGGTGCTCCCCTTGCATGAGTACGCGTGTTCTTATACACATATTCTGGTACCTCGAGCTTAAAGGAAACAGCCAAGTGCCCCAGTCAAGTTAGTGGTCAGCAAGTGACGATATCCAACCCAAGGCCCTCATGAAGGTCTAAGGCAGCCGTAAAACTCACCCCAAACCAACCCAATCAAACTCCCAACTGTCACCAAGTCCGATCCGATGGGCAACCCCAGTTCAAGCAAGGCCGGTGATGCTGGGGATGCGGCCATCCCCCCCGAACAGGTAACAAGGCCCCCAGAGTACACCCAGCCCTCGCAAGTTCCCTTGGCAAAAGATCACTCAGCCGTTGAAGCCCTTGACCTAGATGCACTCACTTGGCCGAAGACAGCGCGATCACTGGGTTCTTTTCTAGTGACCCTTGCACGCCCCTGGCGTCACAGCTACATACCCATTCTTAAGTACGTTCCCGTAGATGTCTATATCTGTTAGTTATATATATATATATATCTTTACCACCCAACCACCCAACCACCCAACCACCCAACCACCCAACCACCCAACCACCCAACCACCCAACCACCCAACCACCCAACCACCCAACCACCCAACCACCCAACCACCCAACCACCCAACCACCCAACCACCCAACCACCCAACCACCCCACCCACACCCCGACAGGGGGGGGGGGAGAGGGGGGGGTCCACGGCCTGGAACATATATATATATATATATAATTGTATATCTTTACACGCACAAGCCAGACACCCAG